AATAGTGGGATTGACCGTCACATTATAACGCCCCCACGGCTGAAAGGGCGAGCATTTTTGGTGTGTCGGGGATTCGAAACCGCGACTCTCAGATTGCGAGTCTGTTTTACATGATAAGCTTGTCTTGTGCCCACGTGTGGGTGATGTTTTAAATCTTATGCTTTTTTATTTTAAAAATACTGTTTGATATAGCCGAGGAGATGATCAGTATTTAATAACAGACTAAAGTTCATCTCTAACATGATTTATTGAAGAAATATGACGTAATTCATCCAAAACTGCCCCCTTTCAATATTTTAAGAATGATGTAGTTTAAAATTTGAAAATATTGGATTAACAGACATCTTGCGAAAGACAATAGTTTGATAATACTAGCTTTCAATCCTAATTAATGTGTCCGAAACAAGGTCACTGTTTTGTAAATGTTTTAAGTTGCGTGTGATGTTGAGGTGCTGATTGTTGAGGAAAGCATGAAAGTGGAGTAAAATTTCGATCCATCGATGTCATATTCTGAATATTTCATCGATGAATTAACGGCACACTTCATATAAAACCGGAATAACAAGGTTTTCCCTTTAAAAACGGTGCATAAAGAGAACGAAAATGACTACAGCAGCTCTATGTATGGCTCCAAGTATTACCAAGAAATTGGGACAAAAATACTCGAGGTAAAATAACATCTCAAAAAGCGTCCTCTTGATAGCCAAGCGGTTAGTGTACTCGTATTCGGAATCGTAGGTTCAGCATTTTGAATCTTGGTAATTCCAAAAAAAAAAGCGTTCTGGTTTGTGACGTGTACAGAAATGTCTGATGTAACACCTAACGACGGCCGGAGAATTCACTGATCGAAACGTTGTGGAAAATAATAATACACATAATAAAAACGAGTAATTATACCATTAGTAATACTAACTCCTTGTCTTAATCATTCCGAAAAAGTGTAGCAGAATATTAAAAAACAGAATTAGAACACCGACTAAAACAAATACAGTTTCCGTAGTAATCTATCTTTCTCATAACGGAAAAATTTAGAATTATTTGATACAAACACTACCCCCAGAAATCAATCGGGATCGTGGCTGGGTTTTGTAATCTTTAGTATTAGTTATAACTACATTTCCAATGAATATTTTCTAAAAAAAAACACTGTTAGATACATTTATTCATTAAGGCTTTCTTCACTTAATATATATTATTTTCCTTTGATATCTTTCAGAAATGTCAGTGAAGTATGTTTAACTATGCAAAAACTTTTGAACCCAAATATCTGGTATGCTATTATTTATTTTGATAATATTATATTTGCCAATACTGTTATGAAACGTAATTTATCACTGTTTAATGTATATCTGTGTTCTTTTTTTTTTTCTAAAGTAACGTTTGTACTATCATGGAGGCTTAAGTAAGAAACCAGTTGTAAGTTCAGCTTTGCTGAAATACAATAATCATGCTCTAATGATGCCATGTGAAAATTAAAACTTATTTTAATTCAGTTATTTTCAGAAACAAATCATGTACAGTTATTTCAAAATGCCGAAACTTCTCAGTGTGCGTTGCGAACAATCAGATATTCAATGTTTTATTACTTAACTTTTTCATCCGTGAAGAGATATTAAGTATTACAAAACACACTTCATGTTACTGTTGTGATATTCAGTGTTAAATCAGGATGTATTATTATAATTATGTTATGCAATACACTTCACAGGAGGCAAGTTGTATTCGATAATAATTTCACTTGGAGAAGAGAACTTTCTTACCTATAACGGATCTCAATGGGAACATCGACATTATACTAGACTGGCAAGTTTCTCAATAGGTGATGAGCAGGGGAGGGGCATTGTGGAGTATGGTGAAAGGTGAAGTTTATAGAAATTTTCCTGATTGGACAACAAACTGTTACGTCTCTTAATTAGAGCTGCTAAGAACAAACCTAACATCTTAGACAAAATTACGCTTTTAGTAAATTCATTCAATATAGACGCATTCGAGTCTTCTGACTTGACATTTGTTTTCGAAGCTACAAAAATAAAATTCTAACGCTAATAAAATGTACTTTTTAGATAAAGTAAAATAAATACTATCTATTAACTTTAATATGATCATATTAACATAATTCCAAAGTGAATAACTAATACAATGGATCACAAATGTTTTACATTGCTTTATATACTATCTACATTATTTCAAAGGAAAAATTTGATCACCTTGAGAAAAACTATATGATTTTATTTATTACAAGATCTAATCTTCCAAAAGGTGTTTTTCATTAATTAAGCACAAAGTGTACATTTGAGCGCTTACAGAATGGATTAAGATACACAGTTTATTTGTGAGAAAGTATGTTTATTTTAACTCCACTACACTTTATATTTAGCTAATGTTAAATAATGTAAACACATTGAACTTCATGACAAACTTATGATTTCATTGAAATATCATAACTAATTACAAATCGTTTCGGGTTTCAGCGAAATTGATTTAATTAAAGGGATTTCGTACCTCTTTTTTTTTTAATATAAGAAAATCGTAAAAGTAAAAAAATTCGCCTATTATTCATTTACTTTTATAAAGCAGAATGGATAAACGATGAAATCTACCGAGACAATTTTACGACGCATGACATAAAAATAGTACTTAATTTTCTAACGTTGAAAAAATAATGTACTAAAAATAGGCTTTGATATTCTTATTTTAAATACATTCATTATTTTAAAAAATTGCACAAAAAATATGGTGGCATTTTTTAATTGGCAGTTATTTTCAATATTAAAACACTATAAACGGAATTCAGAAAAGGTTTTTTGACCGTCACTCTTATAACTCACCTATGGCCCCAAAGCAGAGAGCGTGTTCCTGTGGCAACAAACCGCGAGCCATTAATATCCTGACTTACAGTATAGGCATGCTAACTAATAAGCCTTGCCTCACCCGAGTGTTTAAATCATGTTTAATGTAACTTACGTGCTCATATAATAACATCGACATGTTTTAAGACGCTTTACCTAAACGTATTTCGGAAAGTTATTCAAATCCTCTAACTGGTGCACAAGCTAAAGTTGCCTATCGTTACATTTCGCATGCTTATCATTTCATGGGTCATTGTTACATAGTTTAATTAGGCGGTGTGTTTGTTGTTAAGCACAAAATTACACAATGGACTATCTGTGCTGTGCTACTACGAGTATCTAAACCCGAATTTTAAAGTAATAAGGCTCCAAACTTGCCGCTGGGGCTTAATTAAGCGGAAATACACACATCTAAACCTTGTTAGTTACATTCAGTGTAGCGTACATACAGTTGCTATTTCGAGAGTTATTGGTGTACTATTGGTGTATTAAAGGGAGAAGGAAAAAAAGAGCATTGTGTTTTCAGTTTTGTTTTTATCAGAAAGTGAAAAACTCAGTTTCAAAGAAAATCATCATAAGTTGTAAAAGTTCATGGTATATCTCTTAAATATTTAATAGTTAATTTGAGAAACTTGTTAAACCTTGAGGAAAGAAGGTTGATTATTGACTCCAACAGTATTGAAAGCACCGAATCCTCTGGACGAGACAGTTGGTATATAGGCAACGAGTTTTGGGGTAACTTCCGTAACTCGTGCCCGTCAGTGGCACAGCTATAGGTATGAAAGCTCATAAAATCGGGTTTCGATACCCGTAATGGGCACAGTGCAGCTAACCCATTATGTAGTTATGTTTAACTACAAACAAACCGTGATTCGTCTGTAGGTCTGCGAGAATCAAGATGGTCAATGTTTTACGTCACGACGATGTGGACACAGTGAGAGCTAGATGATGATAACATCAAAATCTACCATAAACGTAAAGTTGAAAAACGCAGCTAGATATATTTAAAGAAATAGACGAATGTATTCCAAGTTACCTGATGGCTTTACGAACAGTACTAAGAGCCTGTTCCAATCGAGGATGTTCCGTTAGGTGGCGTTGATAAGCAGCAGTAGTTAGTACAATGCCATTGGGAACATGAAACTACAGTAATGACGTTTTTCGGTTAATATATCACTGAAATGTAATGTAAGATACTGAAAGCTATACATTCTTAGAATAATGTTATCCTTACTAATGATCCTAAGAAAAATATATGTTTACTGTTACCTGAGGTTACATACCAATACACTCTGTAAACCGCATCTGTACTTAATAGAAATTATAAGTGAGATGACTAGTCAGAGTATTTAATATTATGTGTATTCTATGATGCATAACTTCAACTCTTTAAAATAAAACCAACATCATAATTATTATTTTATATTATATACGTATATATAGGTAATCTTAATTACCAATATCATATAACCAAATCTATTTTTATTTCAATAAAGATGCTTTATAACCTACTTCTTCCACATGTAATTTACTAAACATAAATAAATCGTTGTAACTACAATATGATAGTCGGCTTTTCGCTATCTGTCAAAGGTTAAAACTAAATTAAAATAAAGTTTAATACTGAGATTTACTAGATATTTTCGACATTTCTTTCTTTCCAGTACAAAAAAGAAAGATCAAGTGGTACTGGAAATAACATTAAATGGCACAGTAAAAAGCATTAAATGATATAGAAATTAGCATTAAGTGACACAGGAAATAGCATGCAGTAACACAAGAATTAACATTAAGTGACACAAGAAGTAATGTTAAATGACACAGGAAGTGGAATTAAGAGATCCTGGAAGAAGTATTAAGTGACATAGAAAATAGCATTAAGTGTCTCCGGAAGTAGAATTAAGTAATACAGGAAGTGCATTACATAAAATAGGAAGTGGAATTAAAAGACAATGGAATTAACGCTAAAGAACGTGTGAAAGAGGTCAAGGTAAATTAAATGATTCAGGAACGAACATTAAGAGATATTGGAAGTAGCTAACCTGTCCAGTCTCACTAGCCAGTTCCAATAAACATGCCAGAGACATACCCTTTCCTCCAGCTACTTCCGAACTCATGCACAACGAATCAGTCAAATCTAATACTTCAGGGATAACTGCAGTCCCACTTAAGTCTACGTCTGAAACCATGGATGCGATACGTTAATTGATTATGGAGATGAAGGCTCATCTGCAAGATGGTATATCTTAAATAAATTTATTTCGGATTATTCGTCTTCGAGAAACTTTGACTGAGCTTATAAAACTAATTAAAAATTATAGATAAAGATGCTGAGATATAACCTTGTCATAAACACAGAAGTATCATAGTATATCGCTTATAATAAATTCATTCTTAAATTATACAGAAGAAACGTATTAACAACAAACTGAAGTATTTACAAATTTTATTGTTTGATAATTATTTGTACTTAATTCCCTTTAACTAATTCTAAATTTTTTCGGATTTTGAATGTGACAAAATATGTTAAAATGTACTAAATTTCGTCATAATTCTTTCTGGCTGCTTTCTCTTAAGGGCTACGGAAATCTATTTATTATTGTCAGAATCGATATTTCTTCGGGATAATCTATCGAACATTAAATACATTATTCAGATTTAGATGATAAGGGCGTTATTTTCTTCTGTAAATGTGCTTCGTAATGACAGCGAATTATATGTTTACATGTCACTTGAATATGTATGATATTGCACTTTTTGTTAAGATATCTTTATAATAAAACTATATAATGTATCCATTAATGTTTGCTTTATGAAAGGCAAATAGTACTTACTTTGATAACTAGTTTATGACTATGGTATGAAAGTGTATTGAATGTTTTAAAATCCTGTTCAGCTCTGAATTCTTTGGCTGTTTCTATTATTATATCATACACAAAAATCTGTTGTTAGCTATGAAATGTTTGGGTTAGTGAACTGAAAAGTTGAAGTGCAGCATAAGTAATCATAAGTAGCTACCATATACTTTTATAAGTAGTTACCATATACTTTGATAAGTAGTTACAATATACTTTCATAAGTAGTTACCATATACTTTTATAAGTAGTTACCATATACTTTGATAAGTAGTTACCATATACTTTGATAAGTAGTTACAATATACTTTCATAAGTAGTTACAATATACTTTCATAAGTAGTTACAATATACTTTCATAAGTAGTTACCATACACTTTCATAAGTAGTTACCATATACTTTCATAAGTAGTTACCATGTTCTTTCACAATCAATTTCTATGTATTAGCTTTCGATTAACTATGGTAGAACAACTCCAGTATACTTTCCAAAGGCTAAACAATCAAACGAATCGTTCGAGCTTGGTAGCCATTTCATTTTTACCGTCAGAGGTCGGTAGAAAAATACGTGAAAGCGACCCCAAACAAAGCTGATCTGCGCAACAAGTGCACTTTCTTCATCACGCGAGCGGTTCGTGTGTTACAGTTCAAAATAGTGGACAAGGTCGATCCGCACCCATATTTATAGCATTACCTTTAAAACCCGGCAATTTTGGGTACCATTGCTAGTTTAATATAAAAATGAATATCCAGGAAGGAATTGCGTTTTAAGGATTCTCTAGTATCGCGTCAAATATCCTTTTTTCTTTCCTAATAAGTTTTGTTTTCAGCGACCAACACAACTGTATACTATTAAATTCCTTCTTTATTAAAAACACGCAATTTTGTTTTCCTAAACTTATTTGATTCTTATTTCAGACTTTCAAAATCACCATGTTAGCGGTTTATTTGTAAATTTTACATTAACGCGATCTTATTCTACGTAAACTGTGAAACGATAAAAAAAATAGTGGTTTTAAAATAAATCATAAACCTAACTTTATGAGTTATCCAAGTCATAACCCTTACTACATGGGTTATCTGAACCACAATCCTTACCATATGAATTATGTGAACAAAAATCCTTGCCATGTTAATTTTTTGAACCATAATCCTCATCAAGTGAATTATTTGAACCATAATCCTCATCACGTGAATTATTTGAACCATAATCCTCATCACGTGAATTATTTGAATCATAATCCTCATCACGTGAATTATTTGAACCTTAACACTTACCGCATAAGTTATCTGAACCACAATCCTTATCATATGAATTATGTGAAAAAATTCCTTGCTATGTTAATTTTTTGAATCATAATCCTCATCACGTGAATTATTTGAACCATAACTCTTAATAGGTGAATTATTTGAACCTTAACACTTACCGCATGAATTATCTGAATCATAACCATTACCATGAATTATCTGAATCATAACCATTACCATGAATCATCTGAGCCAGAACTCTCATCACTTAAATTAGCTGAAGAGTAACCCTTACGACACGAGTTATCTGAACCCAAACTCTTAAAAAGTTAATTATGAGAACCACAGTATTTATCATTTAAGTTGTGTGAACCATAACTTTTACCATGTGAATTATCTGAATCATAATTCTTACCACATTAGTTTTTGAAGTGTTTCCTCTCAGTAGGCTTTATAACGTCATGCTAATATTTTCACAGCACAAATTAATTTACTAAGTATGATTTTATAGAGATAGATTTAATGTACGTGCGTGTAAGTTGTGTTGAAAAACGTAAAATTAACGTATTGTGACGTGCATGCACATTCACATTTTGTGTATACAAACGTATTATCAAGTAAACGTATTTCAGATGTTAAGTAAATACTAGGGTAATCTTGATCATGGTGTTTTACACTAACATTTACTAATGACAAATATTTCTAGAAACTTTAGAACACAATGTGTGATTTTTTTTTTTGTTTTAAACTTAAATATTTCATAGTTAAAACAAAACTAGCTCATGATTTTTTTACAACTGACAGTGTTAAATTTTATAACTAATCTATATGTAACTAGGGTTACTTACCAGTGTTGAAAAACGTTTTACTTTTTTCGTTTTTATCCATAGGTCTTGGTATTTCATTTCTACCAAACGTTTACATACAAAATTAAATGAAGATTTTAAAAAAATGTTATTTTCCTGTAAAACATAGCATTAAATACAGATGGCACAACATCATGCAACTAATTCAAATAGCAAGTATACAGTAGCTGTCATCAAACATAATCGTGAAAAAAACTTTTTCTCACAATATATATATATATGTATACTATCATTGTTCTTTCATAAATTTAATATGCCGTTTCAAAATGTTTTATTATATTTTAATATTCTGAAGAAAAATACTCAAAATAAATATTCAAAATTCCAAGAATTTCAAAGCAAAGGTTATACAAAAGTAAACTGTTTAGATAACTGTATCACATAGAGTGTTTACAGAATTTTCTTTTTATTGTTATATTTTCAAACACAATTCATCGATTTTGTCTACAAAATCATTATATAGATGAGCAATTGTGAAGGTATAATAATGTAAGGAAATTATCTTTTTAAAGAACAAATTACAAAATCCATGTAATGATGTAGATGGAAAAAAAAACTGCTTAGCCGAAGGTTCCAGGAGAAGTTTTGGCATTAGTGTCATTGATGGAAAATTATTTTTTGAATCTGAATAAATAAATTATGTCATTATATACAAACACTCGTTCTAAATAAATGGTGCCACCATTTACAAACACTCGTTCTAAATAAATGGTGCCATCATATACAAACGCTATATAGAAACATTTGTTCTAAGTACATTTTACCATCATATAAAACACTCTCGCTCTAAATAAATGTTACCATTATATAAAACAAACACTCATTATAAATAAATGGTATCATTATATAAAGGTACTTATTTTAAAACATTTTCAGTTAATCCTCAACTTTATCAATCTTGGTCAAACACTATATCAGTCTGTTAAGTGTTTTATTTAAACATGCAGAGAGATACGTTTCAACTTCAGAAATTTCACACTATTCGGTTGGGGAAGAAAAATCTAAGAGTTAGTGGTGGGTCCTGCTGATTAGCTACTTACTCTCTAGTCTGTCCAGTCAAAATTAAGGAGGGTTTTACAAAGATAGTCCTCTGTGAAGCTTTGCACAAAAATTCTGAAAAAACAACAACAAACAAACAGGATGAAATGACTTTTAGATCATACAGCCTTTTGTTGACTTTTACGTATATCATACAGTCTTTTGATGACTTGTACGTGTATTATACAGCCTTTGAAGACTTTTACGTATATCATACAGCCTTTTGATGACTTTTACGTATATTATACAGCCTTGTGATGACTTTTGCGTATATCATACAGCCTTTTGATGACTTTTACTATATCATACAGCATTTTGATGACTTTTACTATATCATACAGCCTTTTGATGACTTTTACGCATATCATACAGCCTTTTGATGACTTTTACGTATATTATACAGCCTTGTGATGACTTTTACTATATCATACAGCCTTTTGATGACTTTTACGTATATTATACAGCCTTTTGATGACTTTTACTATATCATACAGCCTTTTGATGACTTTTACTATATCAT